TTTGTGGACAAAACGTAGGTGATCTGCAAAGTCATCACCCAGTCTGCATTTCATCTCCCCAGTGTAGAGGAGACCACTTTGTGAGCAGCAAAGACAGGAGACGAGATTGAGTGAAGTGCAGGTAAAGCGCTGCTTCACCTGGAAGATGTGTCTGGGGTCTTGGATAATGAGGAGGGAGGAAGTAAACAGGCAGGTGCTGCAGCTGCATTTGCAGAAGGCATAATGTTTGACGTTTCCATCTTCCTTTCTTACTACTTCCACTGCCCCAGACACACCTTTCAGGTGAAGCAGTGATTTACCTGCACTTCACTCAATCTAGTCTCCTGTATTTGCTGCTCACAATGTGGTCTCCTGTACCTTGAGGAGAAGAAGTGTAGACTGGGTGACCGGTTTGCAGAACATCTGCATTCTATCCACAAAAATGACACTGAACTTCCCATACTTCAACACAAAACTATGTCCTTGGCCAACATCTCTGTCTCAGGCTTGCTGCAGTGCTCCAGCAAAACTCAGCGCAAGCTGGAAGAACAACACCTCATTTTCTGTTTGGAAAATCTGCAGCATTCTGGACTCAATACTGAGTTCAATAATTTTAGGGTTTGAGCATCTTCTCTCATGTCCTGACTCCAACTCTCACACACAAGCCTTGTTATCACATGGTCTGCTTTCAGCACAGCTGGTTCCCATTATCAGTGTTTCTTTCTCCTTGGCTTACCATTATCCATCCCTTTGTCTATCCAATTGTCTTTCTTTCTCTGGGCTCCATCTTTACTTATTTTATACTTCTTTGTCCCCTCAGCCTCCCACTCTTGTCTTCAGCATATATACCAACTTTTCCGAGCTACTATCAATGCCAAAGAAGGGTCACCAAATTCCAAACGTTAACTCTGTTCCTCTCTCCACGGGTGCTGCCAGACCTGCTGAGTTTTTCCAGCAATTTCTGTTATTACAGGTAATTCAATGGTTTCCACAACAAACCCTTCCTCCGACAGTCTCCAAGTGAAACAAGGAGCCAACCTTTTGCAGAGATAGTAAGAACTGCCGATGCTGGAGTCAGAGATAACACCGTGTGGAGCTGAAGGAACACAGCAGGCCAGGCAGCATCAGAGGAGCAGGAAAGTTGGCATCTCAGGTCGGGACCCTTCTTCAGACTCCTCTGATGCTTGCCAACCTTTTGCAGTTTGCTCGTCTGGCTCTTTTTGTTTCAGAAAAGAAGGACAGTCTGTTCAGATCTCTCTCTCTCAGAAACGCAGAGCCATCTTTCCATTCTGACAGCTCTCTTGTTCGCGGAATTGTCCGAGGAAGGCAAAGAATGACCCCTTTTCACAGCAGCTGTTATCGAACAGTAAACACACAAGGTAAATGTGTTGATGCTATGGTGCTGGTTGCCAGGTGGGTATGGAGGGTAGTGTGCCAGGGTGGCCAGTAATTGCAGTGTCACCTGGGTAAGATAATAGCTAGGCAGGGTGCCAAGGTGCAAGATGACAAGGGGACAGGTAAGGTTTGCTTTGGAGAGAGTCAGTGGGCAGGGTTGGGTCTTGGGTCTGGGGTGTTCAGGACCGGCAGTGGGCTATCAGGCCTCAGCATGCAGGGATCGGGTCCATCAGCACCGGGGGCAAAAGGGTCAGATTGCCTTCAGCTGGGGGGAGAGGGTGAGGTGCTTGGGGATGTGTTTCTTTGTTCGTGGAGGGATGTCAGGTTAGAATCTGGGGGTGTGAGGGATCTGGGTGTTGTATGTAAGGTAAATATCGGGTTTATTTAAACGTTAATCAGGAGGTAATGCATTTAATAGTTTAACTCTTCCTGAGTAACCATTTTACCTAACATAATTTGATTTGATTTATTGCTACCAAGAGGCAGTGAAAGCATTGCATCGCATGTTAACCAGACAAATCGTACCTTACATAAGTACATCAAGGTAATAGAACAGAATGCAGGATACAGTGTTACAGCTACAGAGAAGGTGCAGAGAAAGATCAATTCTAATATATGAGAGGTCCCTTCATAAGTCTGATAATAGCAGGGAAGAACTTTTGTATCTTCTGCCCGATGGAAGAGGATGGAAGAGAGTATAACTGGAGTGGGAGAGGTCTTTGATTATGTTGGCTACTTTCCTGAGGCAGTGGGAAGTGTACATGGAGTCAGTGGATGGCAGGCTGGTTTGTGTGATGGACTAAGCTGCGTTCACAACTCTCCTATAATTTCTTAGCAGAGCGGTTAATGTACCAAGCTGTGAGGCATCTGGATAGGATGCTTTCTGTGGTGCGTCTATCGAAATTGGTAAGAGTCATAGCAGTCATGAGGAATTTTCTTCGCCTGCTGAGGCAGTAGAGGCTTTAGTGTGCTTTCCTGTCTGTAGCGTCTCCGATGTTTGTAAAGAGTTTTTTTTTAATAGAATTCCAGGCGTAGTTCATTTGCCCAGAGGAATGTTCAATTTCCTGAGCAATTCCTTTGGAGTGTGCTATTGTTACGAAGTTGCGTAGAGTAATTGTAAAATGGAAGGCAGAAAACGTGTGGATCCTTTAGGAGATTTGCGCTTTGTCTCTACTTAGAAATTTTTCAAAAAATTTCTACATCTGTGAGCAGCAGCTGAAGTTGCCAGTACAGAGAGTCTCAAGTAGTGAAACAAGTGCATCAAAGCCTTGCAGGTGGCAGGCAAAAAGAGAAGTCTTGTTTTGATGTTGTGACAACGAGTTTGAATTCGGCCAATAAATTTAAATGAAGCACCCAGACACAGAGAGCCAATTGAATTTAAATCTGATGGTGTTGGCAACCTGAAACCAATCATATTATAAGAATTTCATAATGTCATTATGGGTATATAAGACTAAGAGAGCCAAGTGCCATCTGAAAGGGAGAGACAATTGCGACCTGCCTGAGTTAGCACCATTTAGCTCTCAGAGAAAGCCCATCTAATTAATCATAGGCACCATGGCATTTTAGCCTCATTGAAGACGTTATAGAGATAAAACATCCCTGACAGTAGCATTAGCAGAAGATTTTTGAAGACAGCAGAGACAACAGAAGATTTCAGAAGACAGTCTGTGTGAACTTGCAGAGATAAGTTATAGCTTATTGCTTCTTAATAATTGGGTTTATACTAGTGGAACTTGTTTTTATTTAAACCGCATTCCAGTAGAATTTAGACCAGTTAGGGAGTAGTTAGTAGACTAAGGGGGAATTGTTGGTTTGTTAATTTTTGTTAATTTGCTCATTGTTGGGTTAAAAAAGGAAATTGTTTCTTGTTAATTGTAAAGTGGAGATCAGGCATTTTCTTCCTTTTGACCACTTTTTTAATAGATTATGAGGGGTGTTTTGAGGTAATTAGTACAGGGGAAACCCCTACTTCTACCATAACAGATTGGGGATTGTGTTTTAGTTTAATTATCAGAGGGGTTCAGTCATTCCCTGTAGTAACAGCTATGATGGGGTTCCACAGGGTCCCCAACCATAGCTCCCACTTACACCTGCTTAATAACTGTGTGGCCCAGTGGAAAATCTACCCCAATGATTATTTGGTATTGTTCTGTGTATGTTGATATTGAACAAGCTTTTCAGCAGATCTAAATTATACAAATTCAAAGGGGGTGTAAGAGCTGAGAAACCTGGAAGTTTTAGATTTACAAAACTTCAAAGGGGCAATAGAAAGGGGGCATAATTTTAAGGTTTAGAGGAGATTTGAAGAAAAGATTTTTCACCAGAGGTGGTGGGAGCCTGGAATACACAGCCCGAGAGAGCATCACAACCTTTAAAAAGTACTCGGATGAGCACTTGGAGTGTCATAACATTCAAGGCTATGGACCTAGCGTGAGACGGTGGGATTAGTGAAGGTGGTGGTGTATCTTTGCCAGTACAGACAGGATAGGCTAGGGGGCCTCTTATGTACTGCATGATTCTATGATTCGCTGGTACAATAATGTATATAGTGTACTGCATTATGAATAGGAGCTCAAACTACAAAACAAGAAGATCATACAAAGCCTTTATAAAATACAGGTTTCAGCTAAAATACTGTGCTTCACTGTAAGAAACCTGTCAAGGCCTTAGCAGGATTCAAACGGGGTTTACCAATCATATTGGAGTCATAGAACTTTAGTTAGATGGACAGACAAGAGAAACTAGGATCAAAGATAGTAGGAACTGCAGATGCTGGAGAATCCGAGACAACAAGGTGCAGGGCTGGATGAACACAGCAGGCCAAGCAGCATCATAGGAGCAGAAAGGCTGACGTTTCGGGCCTAGACCCTTCATCAGAAATGAAACTAGGATCAAACTTTTTTTTTGTTATTCATTTACAGGACATGGGTGTGGCTGACTGGCCAGTATTTATTGCCTGCCCCTAACTGCCCTTCAGAAGGCAATGGTGAGCCACTGCTGTCTACTTGGTGTATCTACAATGCAGAGCTCCCTGCCTAGTGACATTGCAGATCTACATACTCTAAATACACCTACTATCAACACTGTGGGGTTGCACATTGACTAGAAACTGAACTGTACTAGCTACATGAAAACAGTGCCTACAAAAGCAGGTATGAGGCTAGGAATCCTGCAGTGATAACTCACCTCCTGACATCAGAAAGCCTTTCCACCATCTGAAATGCACTAATCAGGAGTGTGATGGAATACTTCCCACTTGCCTGGATGAGTGCAGCTCCAACAATACTCCAGGAGCTCGACACCATCCAGAACAAAGAGCCCACTTGATTGGCCCCACATCCACAATGATCCATTCCCTTCACCACTGATGCTCAATAGTAGCAATGTGTATCATTTATAACATGCACTGCAGCAACTTAAACTTAAAGATCCTTAAACAGCAAATTTCAAACTCTCAACTTTCATCCAGAAGGACAGGGGCAGCAGATACATGGGAACACCAACACCTGCAAGCTCCCCTCCAAACCACTCACCATCCTGACTCGGAAATATTTCACTGTTCCCTCACAGTGGCTGAGTCAAAATCCTGAAATTCCCTCTCTAATGATGGACAGCACATGGACTGCAGCAGTTCAAGAAGGTAGCTCACCACCACCTTAAGGGCAACCAGCTCTGGATAATAAATGCTGGCCCAGTTAGACATGCCCACTTCCCATTAAGAAAAGCAAAGAACTTTAATGAGTGATTAAATGGAGATATTCAAAGAATGTACAATAAAGATAGGGTGTAAAAGGAGTTGGCAAGTTGGCAAACACAGATTAAAGGTAATAGACAAAAGAAGTAGTGATGGGTTAGTTATTAGATTCAAACAAAAGAGAGGTGTAAATAGATGAAAAAGTAAGTTTCAGAAAGTAATTGGACATATGTTTGAAAAGGTATCACTTATAGACCTTTGGGAAACAGCAAGGAGGTCAGGCTCTTTCAAAGGAACATCACAGACACATCATTTTTTTAAAGTTATCCCTTGACAGTGGGTGTTGCTGGAAAGAGCAGCTTTGATTGTCAATCACTCAATGCCCATCTGTCTGAGGGGCTTGTCAGTCCTTTCAGAGGGAATGAGCCTTGAGTCACACCTGTAGGACAGACCAGGTAAGGAGGGCAGGTTTCTTTCCTTCAGGACAGTGAATTGAAGGGCTTTTACAACAATATTTAGATGGTCACCTTTAGTTATACTTTGTTTTTTACTCACACTTCATTAATCTTGGTGTTTAAATTACCCAACTGATGTGGTAGAACATTAACTCAAGTAACTGGAACATCAGATCAGGTGTCTGGATTACCAGTTGACTAACGTAACCACTATGTTACCAATTCTAATGGGCCACTGGTTTTTCATGCTGTCTGATTCTATAGATTTGAAACCCTCTGCGACTCATTCCCCCATCAGACTGAGAATTTGCACATGGATAAGATCTCATTGCTATCAGCTGGGAAAATTGGACCCAGGGATCTCCCCCAAGATACCTTTTTTAGAACAGTGAGCAGCTGAAGGCCTGGTATCCCACCATCGCTGTTCAGCCAGTTAGAAGGAAGGAGGGTGAGGAGAAAGGGATTGAATAACCAATGTCTGCAGTTAATGCAATTTGAAAGGACGACCTGTCTCACCCCTTTATCAGGTTCCAGTAGTGCATAAATAATTCATGTAAACCCCATTTTCCGTTGATCCAAACCAACCAGGTCTCCATCTTTAAATACCACATCCAGCCGCAAAGTGATCAATGTTTTTCCGATGGCAGTTGCTATTCCAAGTGGTCCTGCAAAAGGCAAATGGTAGCATTCAGTCCAGAGTCAGTCTCCAGTTCTCAGCCTGCTGAGGACAGGAATTTTTTTTTTTTTTTTTTTTGCAAACAGCCTCTCCCCTCAATCCACCTTTACTGATTTTACTATTCAAAAGGGCCTCAGCACAAGACTCACTGCTCCATTCCGTGACCTCCCAGTCCCACGGCAATTCCTCAAAATCAACCTTTTGCTTGGAACTTTGATCTTCTCTCCCTAACTGCTGCTCACCTTTCTATCATTGGCATACATTGCCTCTTCTGAGCATAGCAGGTATATTCTGTTAAATACAAGTGTTTATTTTTGCTGTCATTCCCAAAGTTCAAGATGAGGTACTGTTTGGCTGGCTAAGTTAATACTAATTGATCTTCCTGCCCCATGGCTCCCCCTTATTCCTTTGAATACCTCAGCCTGAGACTGATTTTACATCAACTCAGAGGGTGGCATGGTGGCACGGTGGTTAGTACTGCTGCCTCAGAGTGCTAGGGATCTGGGTTCAATCCCATCTTTGAGCAACTGTCTGTGTGGAGTTTACACATTCTCCCTCTGTCTGCATAGGTTTCCTCCCACAGTCCAAAGATGTGCAGGCTAGGTGGATTGGCCATGCTAAATTACCCCATAGTGTTCAGGGATGTGTAGAATAGGTGGGTTATTGGGGGATGGGTCTGGGTGGGATGCTCTGAGGTTCAGTGTGGACTTGTTGGGCCGAAAGGCCTGTTTCCACACTGTAAGGATTCTATGGTTTACCCAAAGGTTGGCCTTTGTTCTTCTCTCTGCAGCAACAACAACTGGCATTGATATAGCATTTTAATTTGCAAATAAAAATACTGAGCACTTTACAGGAGTGTTACTGGACAAGGTTTGACAGCCCATAGAGCCATACGGCATGGAAACAGACCCTTCGGTCCAACTCGTCCACGCCAAACTGAACTAATCCCATTTGGGCCATATGCCTCTAAACTTCACCTATCCACGTACCTGTTCAAGTGTTGTAATTGTATTTGTCTCTACCACTTCCTCTGGCACCTCATCCCATACACACATCACCCTCCTGAAAAGGTCAAAAGTCACATGACACCAGGTTATAGTCCAACAGATTTATTTGAAATCACACAAGGATTTGGAGTGCAGCCCCTTTGACAGGCACACCTCTCAGCAGACTGAACTGACAAAGGAGCTGAGCTCAAAGCTTGTGATTTCAAATAATCGTGTTGGACTATAACCTAGAGTCATGTGACTTCTGACCTTGTCCACCCCAGTTCAATACCTGCTCCTCCACATCATGACCCTCTATGAGAAAACATTGCTGCTCAGATCCCTTTTAAATCCTTCCCCCTCACCTTAAAACTATGCCCTCTAGTTTAGGATTCCCCTACTCTGGGGAAATGACCCTATTCACCTTATCTATGCTGCTCACGATTTTATAAATCTCTAGAAGGTCACCCTTCAGCCTCCAAATCTCCAGTGAGAAAAGCCCCAGTCTATTCAGCCTCTCCCAATATCTCAAACTCTCTAGTGCTGGCAACATTTTTGTAAATCTTCTCTGTGCCAACCACCCAAGAAAATACATGCAATGTGCCTTAATGATTACTGCCCAATAGTTCTGACCTCAACAATCAGGAAGTGCTTCGAGAGGCTGGTCATGGCCCACATCAACTCCAGTCTCCCAACCTGCCTCGATTCCCTGCAATTTACCTACCAACATGACAGGTCCACGAAGGATGCCATATCCCTAGACCTGCACACATCCCTGGAATATCTGTACAACAAAGACTCCTACATCAGACTCCTACTCGTTGACCACAGCTTTGCTTTCAACACCATTAGCCCTTCTAGACTGATCTCAAAATTCTGAGAGCTTGGTCACAGCTCCACCCTCTGCAACTGGACCCTCAGCTTTCTGACCCACAGACCGCAATCATTGAGGATAGGTAACTGCACCTCCTCCTCAATAACACTCAACACTGGAGTCCCCTCAAGGATGCATCCTCAGCCCCCACTGTACTCCCTGTACACTGCAATGGTGTTGCCAAATTCTGAACGAACACCATCTACAAGTTCACTGATGACACCATCGTAGTGGCATGGATATCTAACAACGACAAGTCAGAATACAGAAGGGAGATGGAGGGCTTGGTGACATGGTGCAATGAAAACAATCTGTCTCTCAACATTGGCAGAACTAAAGAGCTGCCATCCTTTTCAGAAAGAAAGCAGGAGAACACACCCCCATCTACATCAACGGAACTGAGGCTTGGTGTGAAGAGCATCCAGTTCCTAGGAATGGCGATAACTGATGACCTGTCCTGGACTTTCCATGTAGATGCAATGGTCAAGAATGCACAACAACGTCTCTTCTTCCTCAGGCAGCTCAGGAAATTTGGCATATCCATAAGGTCCCTCACCAACTTCTACAGATGCACCACTGACAGCATACTGTCCGAGTGCATAATGGCCTGGTATGGCAACTGCTCTGCCCAGGACCATAAGAAACTACAGAAGGTGGTGTGCACAGCCCAGGCCATTATGGAAGCCAACCTTCCATCCATGCACTCTATTTACATGGCCCACTTCCATGGAAAGGTAGCCGACATCATCAAAGACCCATCACACCCTGGTAATGATCTTCCACAATCTCTTCCGTCAGGCAGAAGATACAGAAGCCTGAACATATGCACCAGCAGGTTCAGGAACAGCTTCTTTCCAGCCGTGATCAGGCTGTTGAATGGACCCTAGCCTCAAATAATGTAACCTGTCTGCCTCTGAGTCTTTTTGATCTGTACATCCTTTGCTTGCTGTGATCTGCCTGTACCATTCATAAACAAAGCTTTTCACTATATTTCGGTACACATGACAATCAAATCAAAAGCACCAATTAGGAAAGGTGGCCAATGTCTTGGTGAAACAGGTAAGTTTTTTTAAAGACCAACTCAAAGAAGGAGAAAGAGAGAAAGGAGAAAGCTGAGATCCGAGGTGGAGTGATGAACATTGGATTCTTCTCCTACCACTTATTACCCAAAGCTATCCACTCGTTTGCTGGTGGCTCAGCTTTACATTCACTGCCCAGACCAACTCCCTCAGTGCTACAATCTCCAGTCCTTCAGTACAACACTTATCTCAAACCCAGGTCCTTAAAGCCAATGAAACACATTTGCTGGAATTTTAGAGATGATAAGGTACATAAACATTTATTATTTTTGGATTCCACAAGCTAAAATTTCACGTCTTTCAACTCGGTCTCCTTTTCTTTGATCGCCACATTGTAACGTTTTAGTGAGCTCCAAATGCTAGCTCGCCATTCTCACTCTTGGTAGTCACATTTTCTCAAACCAAGTTCAACGTAAAACACTCTCATCCCCTCCTGTTTTCTTTATTTATTTGTTCCAGCATTTATTGCTGATTCCTAATTGCCCCATGAGAAAATGGTGACAAGACACTTTCTTGAATGTCTGCAATCTCTTTGGTACAGGGATATCCACTGTGTTGTTGGAGAGGGAGTTCCAGGATTTTGACCCATGACACTGCAGGGATGACGATATATTTCCGAGTCAGGATTATGAGTGACTTGAAGGGGAACTTGCAGTTCCTGTTGTTTCCATGCACTTGCATGGAAAGTGCTCAATTTGAAGTCAAACTATGACATCCTAACTCATAGAGTCATGCAGCACAAAGCAGATCCTTTGGTCTAACCTGTCCATGCCGAACATCATCCCAAATTAAACTAGTCTCACCTGCCTGCTCCTAGCCCATATCCCTCCAAACCTTTCCTATTCATGTACTTATCCAAATGCCTTTTAAACATTGTAATTGTGCCCACAGTTGAAGAAGCTTTGGCCTATTGCTGAAATGTGTTGTTTTAAGGTAATGGTTCTGAGAGGGTTAATGCTGAAGGCTGCACCCAAAGGGACAATATCAAAAATACTTGTAAGGGGAGAGACAGAAAGGGGAGGTTGATCGCAAGGAGTCTCCTCATAGCCTATCGTACCAATGTAACTTGTATCTGATTGCTATCCTACAATAAACCAGTGTCTTGTTTAAGACCCTTGTGGTTTTCCTCTACCCCATGAGATAAAGCAGGCCCCATAGATGCCAACCCTACAGGAGGATAATGGAAACAAATCTACTTTCTGACGGCAAATTGTTCAGTTAGCTTGGACAACATGGCGCAGAGGTAGTCAGCTGAAGACTCACGTTAGCTGCACCATTACAATACAGCCCATCTTTTAGATGGCACACCCTACAGCCATCACATATTGATGATGGAGAGTGTGAATGTTGAAGGTGCTGGATGGGTGCCAATCAAGGGAGCTGCCTTGAACTAGAATTTTGCTCATTTCCAAAGTTGGAAGTTTCAGTTGGAGGTGACCAGCATTTTGGACTGGTTCACCAAAATTATACATTTCATCACGCCAATAAAACATATCAAAATTTTAATCAGAGGACGAAAAAAAAGGGCACTTTGTACCAGGCTGACATTCCAGGATGTAACTTGACTATACTCTTCACACATACAATGTCATCAGTCAGGTCGTCATCTAAGAAATCTGCAAAAAAAATTAAATGTGATATTAGAATACACAGAAAGATTTTGCATTCATCCAGCAGTTTTAGGGGATTAATACCAAAGTGTTTTACAGTCAATGGTGTACATTTCAGATGTAGATACTATTGTACTGTAGGGAATATATAGACAATGTTCACACCATAGCAGAAGGACAGTGGCATTGTAGTAATATTAGTAAACCAGTAATTCAGAGAATCAGGTTATTGCTCTGGGAACATTGATTCAAATCCCTCAGAAGTAGCTGGTGGAATCTGAATTTAATACAACCTGGAACGTAAAGCCATCAATGAAAATGAAATTGGCACTGATTGCCATAAAAACACATTTAATGTCCTTTAGGAAAGAAACCTTTACTTGGTCTGATCTACATGCTACTCTAACACTACGTTAATGTAGTTGACTCTCAGCTGCCCTCGAAAATGGCTGATCAAGGCATTAATTTCAAGGACAACAAATACTGGGTTTGTTACTGGTACATCATTTTTTTTTAATCTACCCATCAGACTCCAGCAAGCAGCAATGATATAAATGTGCAGGTAAGTATTGGCCATGACATCAGAGTACACTTCCCAGCCTTTAAATAAAAGGATATTTTATATCCCCCTGACCAAACAAATGTGACCTTGGCTTAATGACCTGTCTGAAAGATGGTACCTCTGACAGTGTAGTGCTCCCTCAGGGTCGCACTAGGGGTGTCATCTTGTGTTCAACTCAGAATTGTCTGACTTTGCTATGTCTGGTGCCTGCTTTTTAAAATGAAGTCCAAGTGATCTTCAAGAAACCAGTGATGCAGTGTCCATCACTGCTCCTTTGACAATTGACTTTCTTCCAATGTTAAGTTTCATCTCATTTAACGCTGGGTGGTCCTGGAGAAAGGTGCTCATGAGAAGTTTCCAAGAGAATGTTGGTGGAAATGGGGGCTGCAATGTCACTGAGCCACCACTGTCTTATTAAACCTGAGCATGCACTTACAACTTCCACTGTCACTTCCTGCAGAAAAGCCAGAGAGCAAATTTGACCATTATAACTTTGACCATTAAAAGTTAAAGTTACCATAGTCTGACTGAACCATCACACTGCTCAGTCATTGGAGAGAAAAAGATGGTGGTTCAACCTGAGGGTGACCATGTCTCAGTGAAGGGGCATAGTTAAGAAGGAGAGTTCTTCACTGAAACCTCAGCTAGTGTGGGAGTTGAACCCATGCTGTTGGTGTTACTCTGTACTAGAAAACCAGCTATCCAGCCAACTGAGCTAATCACCCCCTCATATAGCAGTGGGTCAGGACAAAGGAAATTCTCTCCATCTTTAGGAGGGAGAAACTTTAAGCCAAGCAGGCCAGCTCCTTTCCTGTATGGTTGGCACTATTAGTCACCTGGTAGGTTTGACTACTCAGTTGAACATATTCCTGGAGGTTTCTTCCTATGAATTCCAACAATGTCATCCACCTCATAGAACATAGAACATAGAACATTACAGCGCAGTACAGGCCCTTCGGCCCTCGATGTTGTGCCAACCTGTGAAACCAATCTGAAGCCCATCTAACCTAAATTATTTCATTATCATCCATATGTTTATCCAATGACCATTTAAATGCCCTTAAAGTTGGCGAGTCTACTACTTTTGCAGGCAGGGCATTCCATGCCCTTACTACTCTCTGAGTAAAGAACCTACCTCTGACATCTGTCCTATATCTATCACCCCTCAATTTAAAGCTATGTCCCCTCGTGCTAGCCATCACCATCTGAGGAAAAAGGCTCCCACTATCCACCTTATCTATTCCTCTGATCATCTTGTATGTCCCTATTAAGTCACCTCTTAACCTTCTTCTCTCTAATGAAAACAGCCTCAAGTCCCTCAGCCTTTCCTCATAAGACCTTCCCTCCATACCAGGCAACATCCTGGTAAATCTCCTCTGCACCCTTTCCAATGCTTCCACATCCTTCCTATAATGCGGTGACCAGAACTGTACGCAATACTCCAAGTGCGGCCGCACCAGAATTTTGTACAGCTGCAACATGACCTCATGGCTCCGAAACTCAATCCCTCTGCCAATAAAACCTAACACACCGTACGCCTTCTTAACAACGCTATCAACCTGGGTGGCAATTTTCAGTGATCTATGCACATGGACACCGAGATCTCTCTGCTCATCCACACTACCAAGAATCTTACCATTAGCCCAGTACTCTGTATTCCTGTTACTCCTTCCAAAGTGAATCACCTCACACTTTTCCGCATTAAACTCCATTTGCCATCTCTCAGCCCAGCTCTGCAGTTTATCTATGTCCCTCTGTAACCTGCAACATCCTTCCGCACTATCCACAACTCCACCGACTTTGGTGTCATCCGCAAATTTACTAACCCATCCTTCTATGCCCTCATCCAGGTCATTTATAAAAATGACCAGCAGCAGTGGCCCCAAAACAGATCCTTGAGGTACACCACTAGTAACTGAACTCCAGGATGAACATTTCCCATCAACCACCACCCTCTGTCTTCTTACAGCTAGCCAATTTCTGATCCAAACCGCTAAATCACCCTCAATCCCATGCCTCCGTATTTTTTGCAACAGCCTACCATGGGGAACCTTATCAAACGCTTTACTGAAATCCATATACACCACAACAACCGCTTTACCCTCATCCACCTGTTTGGTCACCTTCTCAAAGAACTCAATAAGGTTTGTGAGGCATGACCTACCCTTCACAAAACCGTGTTGACTATCCCTAATCAAATTATTCCTTTCTAGATGATTATAAATCCTATCTCTTATAATCCTTTCCAACACTTTACCCACACTGAAGTAAGGCTCACTGGTCTATAATTACCAGGGTTGTCTCTACTCCCCTTCTTGAACAAGGGGACGACATTTGCTAGTCTCCAGTCTTCTGGCATTATTCCTGTAGACAATGACGACATAATGATCAAAGCCAAAGGCTCTGCAATCTCCTCTCTAGCTTCCCAGAGAATCCTAGGATAAATCCCATCCGGCCCTGGGGACTTAGCTATTTTCACACCTTCCAGAATTGCTTACACCTCCTCCTTATGAACCTCAATCCCGTATAGTCTAATAGCCCGTATCTCAGTATTCTCCTTGACAACATTGTCTTTTTCCTGTGTGAATACTGACGAAAAATATTCATTTAGCGCCTCTCCTATCTCTTCGGATTCCACGCACAACTTCCCACTACTGTCCTTGACTGGCCCTAATCTTACTCTAGTCATTCTTTTATTCCTGACATACCTATAGAAAGCTTTAGGGTTTTCCTTGATCCTACCTGTAAAGACTGCTCATGTCCCCTCCTGGCTCTTCTTAGCTCTCTCTTTAGGTCCTTCCTGGCTAACTTGTAATTCTCAAGCGCCCTAACTGAGTCTTCACGCCTCATCTCTACATAAGCCTCCTTCTTCCTCTTGACAAGAGATTCAACTTCTTTAGTAAGCCACGGTTCTCTTGCTCGACCACGTCCTCCCTGCCTGACAGGTACATACTTCTCAAGGACACGCAGTAGCTGTTCCTTGAACAAGCTCCACATTTCAATTGTGCCCAGCCCCTGCAGTTTCCTTCTCCATCCTATGCATCCTAAATCTTGCCTAATCGCCTCATAATTGCCTTTCCCCCAGCTATAACTCTTGCCCTGCGGTATATACCTATCCCTTTCCATCGCTAAAGTAAACGTAACCGAATTGTGGTCACTATTACCAAAGTGCTCACCTACCTCCAAATCTAACACCTGGCCTGGTTCATTACCCAGTATCAAATCCAATGTGGCCTCACCTCTTGTTGGCCTATCTACATACTGTGTCAGGAACCCCTCCTGCACACATTGGACAAAAACTGACCCATCTAAAGTACTCGAACTATAGTGTTTCCAGTCAATATTTGGAAAGTTAAAGTCCCCCATAACAACTACCCTGTTACTTTCGTTCCTATCCAGAATCATCTTTGCAATCTTTTCCTCTACATCTCTGGAACTTTTCGGAGGCCTATAGAAAACTCCCAACAGAGTGACCTCCCCACACACGCCCCACCACTGGTCAACCAGCACTCAGCCAATTGAGAATCAGGGTCATTACTGAATGGATCGTTCTTGACTACAGTTAAACGGGCTTTTATCTGCCAACTGGGGGAGTCATTGAATCACAGATGTTTACAGCACAGAAGAAGCCATTCAGCCCATTAGGTCTGTGTGGAACAACAAAGATCTAACCACACTACCCCAAGTTCCTAGCTTTGGCCCATAGATCTGGAGGCAGTGATATAGTGTTAATGTCACTGGGCTAGTGACACAAAATCCAAGTCCAATGCTCTGGGCATGTGGATTTGAATCCCCACTATCGCAGATGGTGATATTCAAATCCAATAAAACTGGGGAAAGAGATGGTCTAACTGTCATCTTGTAACTGATGTTGATTGTTGTTAAAAACCCACCTGGTTCACTAATGTCTTTTAGGGAAGGAAACTGCCATCCTTACCTGGTCTGGCCTACATGTGACTCTAGATCCACAGCAAAGTGGTTGACTCATAACTGCCCTCAGAGCAATTAGGAATGGGCAGTAAATATTAATGCCCACATCACATGAAGTAATTTTTAAAAAATCAGTGAATATCCAAATGTTAAGTCAGTGTTATGAGGGTGTTGTGGTTGGCTCACTCGCCGAGCTGGTTCATTCGTTTGCAGACGTTTCATTACCCTGCTGAGTAACATCATCAGTGCAGCCTCCGATGAAGCGCTGTTGTATTTTCCCGCCTGGGGTCTGTCGGAGTTATGAGGGTTTCTATCTGAACCAACTATTCAGGCACTGCGTTCCAGACTTCTACCCTCCTCTGATTGAAAAGAATTCTCCTTACATTAGGTCTTCTAATTCTTACACTAAATTTTTGCCTTCTGCTAATTGACACCTCTGCCAATGGAAATATGCCTTCCTATCCACCCTATCTATACCTCTCATAACCTTATACATCTATTATAAAATCAAACAGTACTGAAGCGGCCTGTCAGCCCATCAAGTTTGTACCGCCAAAGTTACACTAAATCTACACTAATCACACTTTCCCACACTAGGTCTTTGGCCTTTCATGTTATGACATTCCAAGGGTTCATCCAAGTATTTTTAAAGGTTGTGAGATTTCCTGCCTCAACTTTCCAGCCTCTCAGGCACTGCATTCCAGATTCACACCACCCTCTAAGTGAAAAATCTTTTCCCTCTAAACCTTCTCCCTTCCACTTTAAGATTATGCCCCCTTATTATTGACCCTTTGATGAAGGGGAACAGCTGCTTTCTATTCACCCTCTCCATGCCCCTCATTATCTTACAGACCCCCAACGGGTCCCCCCTCAACCCTCTCTTGAACCTGAGCTTATCCAGCCTCTCCTCATACCGCAAATGCTCCATCCCAGGCAACATCCTGGCGAATCTCCTCCGCACTCCCTCCAGTGCCATTATATCCTTCCTATAGTGTGGTGGCCAGAACTGCACACAGTACTCTAGCTGTGGCCTAACCAAAGTCTTGTACAGCTCCAGTGTGACCTCCCTGCTCTGATAATCTGTACCATGACTGTCGCAGGTGTCTTATATGTCTTCTTAACCATCCTATTAACCTGTCCTGCTGACTTCTCAGCCTTGTGGAAAAGTCCCACTGTTCGTCTGAGCTTCTCAGCGTCCCGATATTCATTAAGTTCTCCCTTGCTTTCTTTATTTTTCCTTTATTCATTCATGGGATGAGGGTGTCGCTGACGAGGAAGCATTTATTGCCCATCCCTAATTGCCCAGAGTCAACCACATTACTGTGGGTCTGGAGTCACATGTAGGCCAGACCAGGTAAGGATGGCAGTTTCTTACCCTAAAGGGCATTAGTGAACCAGATGGGTTTCTCCCCAATAATCAGCAATCAATTCATGGTCAGCATTAGAACCTTAATTCAGTTTTTTTTTTAATTGAGTTCCAATACTACCATCTGCCTTGACGGGATTCGAACACAGGTTTGCAGAACATTATCTGTGTCTCTGAATTGACAGTCCAGCGATAATACCAATAGGCCATTGCCTTCCCTTAGTCTCTCATTCTTTAAGTTTTTGTTTGTTTATGGCTGAAGGGTTCAGAAGTTTTATAAACAGCACAGAGGCTTTATTAAGCACAACTGTTTGTCTCTGCAGATTTGCTCACAGCAGCACCCAGTGGTCATTCATTCATTCCTTGAATGTCCACAAAGGTCCTGGGAAGGATAGGGGAAATCTGAGTTTAACAGACAGTCATTCTGTTTTCCACCAGGATTGTGTTGAGAACCTTAAAGAAACTAATGATCTATTTTCTGCTCTTCATTTAAATTTAGAGAGGAACAACCAACCGGTGTCTTACCTGAGCAGTTCATGCCACAGTTCCTTAAGCTGACAGGAGTATCATTATCCAGACACCACCAGAAACTGTTGATCTGAAATAGGCCACAATCCATTGACAAGATTTTCCCACGGTGCCATTCAATGTTGAGAGCTGCAGAGTTGTAAGCACTTTCGTAGAAGGCAGTACAAATCCCTGGAAATCAGGGTAAAAGGAAAACCAGGAACATAGGAACAGAAGAAAGCCATTCAGCACCTTGAGCCCATTCTGCCATTAAATAAGATCACAGCTGATCTGTGGCCTAACTTCATATATCTACCTTTTGCCCATACCCCTTAAGGCCTTTGGGGAGAAAGCAGTGTGAATATTTCAGGTCCAGTGACCTTCTTCAGAACTGACTGTAGCTCAGGAAAGGTTGGTATCTATGCTGAAGATGGGTTGGGGGGAAAAGGGGAGGAGTAAATGACAGAGATAGTAGGAACTGCAGATGCTGGTGAATCCGAGACAACAAGGTGCAGGGCTGGATGAACACAGCAGGTCAAGCAGCATCATAGAAGCAGACAGGCTGACGTTTCAGGCCTTGACCCTTCATCAGCTTTTCTGATGAAGGGTCAAGGCCCGAAACGTCAGCCTCTCTGCTCCTATGATGCTGCTTGACCTGCTGTGTTCATCCAGCCCTGCACCTTGTTGTCTAGGAGTAAATGACAGTTGGGAGATGGAGCCCAGAGAGACAGAATAACAGAGGGGCAAAGGAATGGCTAAAGGTCAGCCTGGGAGAATCAATAGCTGCTAATGGGGACTATTAGTAGCTGGCAATGGATTGTTTGTGTTAGCAGCCCATGTGATGACAAGCCTTGGCTTGTGGGGGCTGGGGTAAGGACACGGGGGAAGGTGCTCAGGCACTAAAATTGTTAACTCGTTATTGAGTCCTGAAGGTTACAGGGCCCCCAATTGGAAAATGAGATGCTGCTCTTCCAACTTGGCTGAGCTTCACTGGAGCACTGCAGCAAGCCTGGGACAAGAGAAGTTGGCCAGGGAACAGGGAACCGGGAAGCTCAGGGTCATTTTTGCAGACCAATCCGTCTAGTGAAACTCAGCACAATATCAAGTTCATTAGTGCCTGAGCACTTTTCTACATGTCCTTACCCCAGACTCCACACACCAGGCCTTGTCACCACTTGCTGCTAACTCAAACAGCCTATTGTCAGCCACTAATGGTCCCCATTAGCAGCTATTGATTCTCCCAAGCTGACCTTTACCCATTTCTTAGCCTGCTTATCTGGTTATCTCTCTCTCAGGGATCCATCTCCCCCTTCCTCCCCCCACCCCATTTTCAGCTTGTTTTTCCCAGGTACACACAATCAGTTCTGAAGAAGGGTAATGAAACGTTAACTCTAATTTCTCTCCACAGATGCTGCCAGACCGGCCCAGCTTTCCCAGCAATTTCTGTTTTTGTTTCTGATTTCCAGCACCCACAGTTCTTTGTGTTTTTTTAATCCCCTTAATACGTTTGATGAACGAAAATGCATCCACTTCAGATTTAAAATGAACAACTGATCTGCTGTTTGTGGAAAAGTGTTCCAAACCTCCACCACCCTTTGTGTGAAGAATTGCTTCTTAACATCTCTTCTGAATGGTCTGCCCCTAGTTCTCTGACCATGCCCCCTATTTCTAGAATTACCAATCAGTGGAAGTTGTTTATCTTTATGTACCCTGTCTTTCCACATCATTATCTTGAAGATTTTGATCAGCTCATCCTTTAACCCTCGAACTTTGAGAGAAAACAGGCCTAATTTATATAATCTCTCCTAATAACTTAGCCCCAAAAGGTGTGGTTAGAGGTAAGCAAAGCCTTTCAGCTTGATCCATCATTCAATTAAATTTGAGGCAAGAAAACTTACAACCTTGAAAAGGTTCTTGAATGACCCCTTGAAATGTAATGCAAGGCTCTAAGCCTGGTGCTGGAAATTGGGCCTACTACAGGCTTAGATAACAAGGTGTAGAGCTGGATGAACACAGCAGGCCTGGCAGCATCAAAGGAGCAGGAAAGCTGACGTTTCGGGTCTGGACCCTTCTTCAGAACCGAAACGTCAGCCTTCCTGCTCCTCTGGTGCAGCTTGGCCTGCTGTGTTCATCC